ACAGACAGACAGATGCAAATAGACCTGATAGGTTTGTTTTTAAAATTTCAGCCATGAGTCAGTACAGTAGGGCAAAACCCCTCTAATTAATTTAAAAAAAATTTTTTTTCCCCTTTATTGATATTTGAGAAAGACGAAGTGAGAGGAAGAGAGAGATAGAAGCATCGATGAGAGAGAACATTGATTGGCCGCCTCCTGCACGCCCCCCACTGGGGATCTGGCCCACAACCTGGGCATGTGTTCTGACCAGGAATCGAACCTGCAGCCTCTTGGTGCACAGGTCAATGCTCAACCACTGAGCCACACCAGCCACACTAAACCCCTCTAATTTATGTTAAGTTTATTCAGATTGCTATGGCTTTTTAAAATTAGTGTCTGTGGATAAGACAATCAAGGCTTGTACTTGTCCTTGGCAAGCAGACTTGGAGTCAGAGCAGCAGTTTGTGCTTTAAAAACAAATACCCCCATTTCCCCTTTTCTTCTTTCAGTCTTAGGAATTGGATGGAAAAGACAGGGCGGCATTGACCTGCTCCTAGAGCTGCATTTCTGGTTTCACAAAGATCTGTAAGATCAAGACAGTGGCTCTCAAAGAACTGGGTTTTAAGTTATGAGGCATCATAGGTTGATCTACCCGTCCAAGTACATCATTCCCAATTTGCTTCTTTCTTCTGGGTAAATAGGTTTATTTTAGTTTAGGGGAGGAGGCTTTTTAAAAATTCCCATTGCCCTGGCCGGTTCTGCTCAGTGGTTAGAGCATTGGCCCTTGGACCAATAAGTCTTGAGTTCGATTCTGGTCAAGGGCACATACCTCGGCTGTGCATCATCACCAGCCCCGTTCCAGCTGTGCAGGAGACAACCAGTCTATGTGCACCTCTCACATCGATGCCTCTCTCTCTCTCTCTCTCTCTCTCTCTCTCTCTTTCTCTCTCCCCCCCTCCCTCCCACTCTATCTGATGATAACTCTATCTGATAATAAATATAAAAATATCCTCGGATGATGATTACAAAAAAATTCCCATCAAGCTTTGAATCTTTAGCTTCCAAATTTGTCAAATTTCTGGTCATAGAGTCATTAAATTCTTCGAAATATCAGGTTTAGGGGCGGGGGTGGGGTTGAGGGAGAAACAGGAAGAAATTTTAAAGCACCTGCTCAGATGGCCAACATTTTTTTAGGATCTTTTTAGAGCTGTTTTTATTTTATTTTATTTTTTATCCTCACCCAAGGACATTTTAAAAAAAATTTTGTTCAGATAGAGTGGGAGGGAGAGAAAGAGAGAGAGAAACATCGACGTGAAAGGGACACATCGAGTGGTTGCCAACCGCACAACCCAACCAGGGCCGGGGACACACTGCAACTGAGATACGTGCCCTTAGCGGGAACCGAACCCTGGTCTCTCTGGAACGCAGGCCGATGCTCTAACTGCTGAGCCAAACCAGCCAAAGCATAGAGCTGTTTTTAAAATCAACTTGTCCTTTAGAAGCTTCCGCATATCAACGAAATAAGGCATTCCAATATTCCCCAGAGGTTTGAAGTTCTCTCTATAAGGGAAGGCCCTTCAGGTAGACTTAAAACAAAGTTTTATTGCCTGGCTGGTGTGGCTTAATGGTTGAGCATCAACCCATGTACCAAGAGGTCGCCGGTTTGATTTCCGGTCAGGACACATGCCTAGGTTGTTGGCCTGATTCCCAGTGGGAGGCATGCAGGAGAAGGCCAATCGATGTTCTCTCTCATCAATGTTTCTATCTCTCTCTTCCTCTCTAAAGATCAATAAAGAAAAAAAATTAAAAGAAAACAATAACAAAGTTTTCTCTCTCTCTCTCTTCTTTTTTTTTTTTTGTTAATCCTCACCTGAGGATATTTTTTTCATTGATTTTTAGAGAGTAGAAGGGAGGGGTGGGTGAGTGAGAGAGAGAGAGAGATTGATGCAAGAGAGTTATATCCATTGGTTCCCTCCTGTATGCCACCGAGGATCTAATCTGCAACCCAGGAATTGAACCCGTGACCTTAGGTGCGTGGGCTGATGCTCTAAGCACTGAGCCACACTAGCCAGGGCCAACATTTTCTCTTAATGGCTATTAGAGTTTTAAATTATTTTGGCTAAGTTGGTCTATCTTGTGCCTTTGGCACAAAATGTTTGTATATATAACTAGCTAGAGTTCCTGAGGAAGAAACTTTTTAGAGCGTCCCATGTTAAAGATAAATTCCCCCGAAAGTTGGACAAAAAGACAAAATATGTTCAAGCTACCTTTGAATCATTTAATTTCTTAGAGGCCTCTAAATGCCAATTAAAAATGTTTCTCAGTTGTTTAACATTTCTAAGATTTTCCACTTGTGCATGCACAGTCACTATATCTGGACATTCAGAAGATCCCTAGAGTGGCCACTGCGGTTCTAAGTTATCTTTTGTATCTGAGGTTCACTGGGATAATAACTTAATAGAGAATAAACCATGAGTTTGAACATACACAGCTGGTGTCCCAGATGGGGGTTGTCCTGTAGCAGATTTACACAGAGGAGACCCCATTACAGAAACCAGAATCAGAGGACCCAAGAATGAAAGCTCTGAACCTCAACCAAAGGAAGGAGATTCAGAATCGAGAGACCTCACCACTAGAATCCCAGAGCTGGCCGCGGCCGGTTTTGCTCAGCAGTTAGAGCGTCAGCCTGCGGACTAGAGAGTCCCAGGTTCAGTTCCCGCTAGGCACGTACCTTGGCTGCAGTGGTTGGGGCTGTGTGGGTGGCAAACACTCGATGTGTCCCCTTTCACATCAATGTTTCTCTCTCTCTTCTTCCTTCTCTCCCTCCGGCTCTATCTAAAGATAAATGCAAGAATGTCCTCGGGTGAGGATAAAAAAAAGAATGTGGCAGAATCCCAGAACTGTCATGGAGATGACAGAGCTCAAAGGGTTCAAGCAGGTACCTTTCTTGAATCCAACATGGGTGGCATGGAATTAAAGTTCTTTGGATCCCACTGCTGCCACCATAATGTGGACTGAGTGTAAATGTATCAGGAGCGTAATAAATGATACAGATTTATTTATTCAAAGGTCTTAGGGTTTGCAAACTGATAACAGCACTAGGCAATATGCAGACTGTTCAGAGGAAGAAAGAGACGCGGAGGGTTCTCACAGTAAATAGCACATTCTCGAGAAGAAGCAGGCCTGCACTCTCAGCCTCTGGGTTGGTCCAAGGCGGTAATTCGTAGAAGACAGGGTCTGTGTGCTGGATTTCAGAGCGTCTGGCTACATGAACATCCTTCCCCGGTCCTGCAGGGGTGATCAGAGGGCTCTCAGTTCTGATGTACCTCGAAGCACTGACACAGGACAGGGAAACTCGAAAGTTTAAGTTTCCAGGTTGGTTAAAACAAGAATAGAATTGTTTCTTCAGGCCTCCACCTACTTGATTGTAGTAATTTAGCTGACTGACTGCAGTGGTCCGGTGTGCTTCCTCACGCTCTTCTCAGTGGCAGGGAAGAAGGCCCGGCTGCCACGGGCTCCATTCCCCGGGCCTCCGTTTCTGACTTCGTCTTTGTCTGTGACTCTGTGTCCAGAAGAGCCTCCTGGGGGGATGGGCTGCTTTTACCTTTCCAAGTCACCCACCTCACATGCCTCCTCTCATCATTTGCCAAGAAAACCAGCCGGTGTGGCTCAGTGGTTGAGGGTCGACCCCTGCACCAAGAGGTCACCGGTTCGATTCCCGGTCAGGGCACATGCCCAGGGTGTGGGCCTGATCCCCAGTGGGGGGCGTGCAAAAGGCGGCCAGTCGTTCTCCCTCATCATGTTTCTATCTCTCTCCCTTTCCCGTCCTCTCTCTCTCAAATCAATAAAGGAAACAAACAAAACAGAAAGAAAACCTGTGTGAGCAAGCTGGTTTATGGACCCTTCACCCACATCTTATTTCTAGATTTTTTATTTTCTTCTGTCTCTTCAATCCTTCCCCCTGGGAGAAGGAAAGGGAAAGAATGGCTGGGGGCCGAATAAAGGAAAAGAGCCAGAATTCACGGAGTGCCTCCCACACCACTGCGTGCCATGACAGGGGCCCCGAGGCAGCTTATTCATGTGTCCTCTCTGGCCCCACATGTGGCGGGTGTCCCATCTCCATCGGGTAGGTGAGGTTCAGTGCCTGGCCCAGGGTGCACAGTTCGGCCAGGGTTAGCTGGAGGGCCCCAGAGTGCTTTGGAGCCGGCGCCTGAGTCCTGGAAGTCCCTTGGCTGTGACTCAGAGGCCAGAGAACGTGCTCCTGCCGGTTCTCTCTGGGGCCGCAAAGCCAGAAACCTCGCTGCGCACCTGGCCGCAGGCCTTCCCCACTCCCAGCGGAATTCCCGGAGCGGAAATTCCCGGGCCTGAGGGGAAGGTAATCGGGCTCAGGCCGGGCTCCAGGGGCGGGGCCGACCGGCTGGGCTGCGCTTTGTTCTGCTTGGGGTCTCCTGAGCCCAGCAGTCCGGGGCGTTAGGGCTGGGCCCAGGGATCTTAGACCCGCGGAGAGACTTCAGGGAGCAGCTCCCACCCCCGTGCAGAGTCAGTTCTAAGACAGAGACCGTGTTTCTTTTCTAAGCATACTTTATTTCTCGCCACTGACCAGTAGGGCGGTTACAGACACAACTCCCCTGGGGAGCAGAGGTTCAGCGATGTAGCGACAGTCAGTCACCAAATCAACATTATTTAGACAACTTGATCAGATAAATATTTTTTTAAAACATAAGCAAAAAGAGGCACAGAGGCCAGGAGGCCAGGTTTTCACAGAAAACACGTCTGAGCTAAGGCAGTGTCTGCGCTGGGTGTCCCAGGACACCCAGCCTCCCGAATAAATACTTTCATCAGTAATAAATAAATAATAAATAAATAATAAATAATCACAGGTGCAAACATAAATAGAGGGAGCTAGCCCAATGTGGGGCTGGGGCGGGTGGGGGTGTGGGGGACTGGGCTCCCCATCTCAGGGAAGCATTTGGAAACATTTGAAGAAAGGGAAGCCTGAGGCCCACTCATGTCCACTTGTCGGGAAGATCTTCTAAAGGGATGTTCTGAAGTGTTCTGGCCAGAACTAGAGGTTCCTGGCCCCCACATTCCAGGTGTCCCAGGTTGCGTTCAGGTACCTAGACCTGAGGCCCCATTGTCCAGGTCACACATCTGTGCACCCTAGGTTTCTAAGTGCTGTTTAAAGTTCTCAGTCCTGAGCCCCGAATTCCCTTTCTAAAGCAGAGGGGATGAAGGGGCCGGAGGAGTGGATAATACAGGGGATGAGGGGACGAGGATGGACGTGCTGCTCCCTCACAGGGCGATGAGCCCGAAGTAGACCTGCCCGGACTCAGCAAAATCGAGATAGTCGGGCAGGTTGATCTCTGCACTGAGCCGATCACCCTTCTCCAGCTGGAAGACACCTCCCAGGTAGATGGGTTCGTACCAGGGCTTGGCCTCCATCCCCTCTGGGGTCTCCCTCTGGCAAGGGCTCTTGATGGCAGACAGGAGGTTGACCTTGTCTGGGTAGGAGACAGCAAAGCGTTTGATGGTGTGGGTGAGCAGCAGCTGGGTTTGAGGGCAGTCTTGGCCCCTGAAGAGGACCTGGGAGTAGATCAGGTACAGCCCGTCTGATGGCACCTCCAGCTGGTTGTCTACCAGCTGCACACCGTTGGCCAGGAGGGCGTTGGCGACCTTGCTCTGCCACTGCAGCTGCCCCACAGTCTGCTGGTCTGCTGGAGGGAGAGAGGAGCGTCAGTGCGGCCCCGCCAGTTCCACGCTCCATATCCTGTCCCTGTCCCTCTGTCATCTTCCCGTGTCCCATCTGGCCGTGAGGTTCTGAGTATATCCTGCAAGGCTGGTGGTGTTTCTTCACCCTCCCCTTGAATTCAGTGAGTTCTCCTCACACTGTCTCCAAGGGCTGTTTACGCTCAGCCTGGGTTCAGCCCCCAAATCCTGTCCCTCTTCGGCCCACCTGCTTCCTCATCTCCCAGACACATCCTCAGAGCTCTTACCTACAACATGGGCAACAGGCTTGTCATTTGAGGTTCGAGAAGATAATCCTGAGGAGGAAAGAGGAAAGAAAAAGGTGAGATCCTTAAGCTTCCCCCAAAACATCCTGCTGCTCTGACCTCATCCCTCATCCCTCCAAACCCCAAGTCCAGTTTCCCCCAGTGTTCCCATCCCAGGCCTAACCCCAACTCTACCCAAACCCCAAAGTTGGAGAGATGCTTTGGAGACACTTACCAAGGGTCTGGGGCAGCAGGGCGCCAATCGGGTGCTGTTGGAGAGGAGCAGGGTTAGCATCAGAGCAAGTCACCCCAGCGAGAAGCAGCTGGCTGCGTATCTCGCGTGTACTCTCTGCCTGATGTGTCTAGTTCTCTCTCCTTCGTCCATTCATTCAGCAGTCTTTGTTGAGTGCCTTCCATGTGCCAGACGCCCTCTCTTCACCTGTTCTTATCTCTCCTTCCCTCACCTCATCTCTCCCATTCTCTTTATTCACCATCTTCATTCATAGCACTTGCTTTCTCCCCATCTCTCTACCCCCGCCCCACATTTCTGCACATACCTCTCTTTATGTGTTTACCTGCTTGCTCACTCATTCATTCAACAGCTGCGTAGTGCGCACCTTCCAGGTGACAGACGCCTTTCTCTCCAGGCTCCTCTCTTCCCTGATCTCTCTCCACTTCTCTTTCTGCCTCCCCGCCTTTCTCCAGCGCCCCTCCTCACCCCTCACCCTCTTTCTCCCCCATTTGTCTCTGGGTGGGAGAAGGAGCCAAGGCTGGTGAAGCACGTACCTCTTCCCTCTGGGGGCCAATCACCCCGAAGTGCAGCAGGCAGAAGAGCGCGGTGGCTCCTGCCACGAGGAGGAAGGAGAAGAGGCTGAGACACAAGCACCGCCTGGAGCTCTGAGGGCCCCCTGCCTTCTTGGGGAGCGCCTCCTCAGCCAGCTCCACGTCGCGGATCATGCTTTCTGTGCTCATGGTGTCCTTTGTGGAGGGACTCAGGTCCAGCGGCAAGATGGTGTCAGAGGGAGAGAGTAGCCTGGCTGCTTCTTTGAGGGCTGTGTGGTCTGAGAGATTACTTCCAGGGTCTAGAGTTGCCTCTCTCCTGGCCGCTGCCCTGGTGTCCTCGCTGAGGGAGCTTCTGCAGGCTGCTGTGCGAACAGCTGCCTTTATAGCCTGGGGAGAGAGGGCGGGGAGAGGCTCTCATTCAAGCAGCGGAAAACTTCCTTGGTGGAGAAACCCATGAGCTCATCTGGAGGAAGCGGTAGTGGGTCCTACACCTTCTGTCTCGGTTTCTTCTCCATTGCGGGGGTGGTGATTTGGAAAGTTGGGGACACCCAGGCATCAAGAATACTTGCCACCCTGGATTCTGAGGGGGGCCTGCTGGATTCTGAGTTACTGCTGTGAATGTAGGACCTTAAAGGCTGGACCCCAGTTCCCCTCTGCCCCCCAATTCCCATTGTCTCTATTTCTTTTGGGGACCAGTGCTGTGGCCTGTTTCCCTCTGATTTTCAGACCAGACTCATGTCGGGGCATAATCAGAAATGGGAAGGATTTCAGGAAGCTGAGGTTTTGATGTGGAGAAAAGGGGGGGGGGAGGGGAGCTGTGACGGGTCCTGAGGCAGGTGCTCGGGGTTCCTGGGGGAGAAAGAGCTGGGGGAGGGGAGCTGGAGGTTGGGGGCATGAATGGGCCTCTGGGAGGGCTTGGGGGATGGCAGGGCAAGCCTGGGACAGCCCCAGGGGGAGCGGAGGCAACCCTGGGAATTCATGGACCCCACCAGGGCTGCCTTCTCCTTTCGTTCTGACGGGGGTCACAGTGTTGGTTTCAGTCCTGACTCCAAAGGAAGCTGTGGCTCTGACTTTTGTACGAAGCCCCACCCCTTCGAACCCCCATGTGTGGCCATGTATCCCCAAAGAACTCCTGCTCCCTCAGATTCCTGGAGGTGGCCCTGGCCCTCAGAGCCCTGGGCTTGCCCATGTGCCTTCAGATGTCCCCGTATTTTCCTGCCCCTGTCCTTGCAGGCTGTCTCACTCCTTAAGGCCCTTGCATGGCCATGTCTGCCAGGGGGCCCCCGAGCTCCATCCCCATGGTCCTGAAGACCCTTTGGCGCGGCCACTTCTCTCCGGAGGCTTCCTGTAACCCCACTCCGCACAGCCTCCCTCTGTGGCCATGTCTGCCAGGGGTCCCCTGACCTCTACCCCTCCAGACCTTGAGCCCACGTTTTTCCTTTGTCTTCTCAGCTAATCCTTTGGTTCCCCTAAAGAGCCTGGGCCTCCCGTCCTGCCACACCAGTTCCCCCCTCTCCTGGAGCTCCTTAGGCCCCTGCATGTCTTTGTATGCCCCCGACTCCCACCCCTCTGAGGCTGTCTGCCTCCATTCCTTAGATGGCCTGGGGACTTCTTCCCTCGCCGGCAGACAGACAGACAGACACAGGAGACAGCATTTCAGAGAAAAAAGGTTTATTGGGCTCCATGGAGGGCACAGAGACCCCTCAGGAGGTGTCTGGTGAAGCCGCGGCTGGCTCTTCTGAGCCTTTGCTTCCCTCTGGGACCCTGGGCCCTCTGCCCCGCAGGCTTCCTCCGGCTCGTCCTCGTGCGACGCCCTCTCAGCCTCCTCGGGCGGACACGTTTGTCTGTCTCTTCTGATGTCCTGCTATATCCCCTCTCTCCATCCTCCATAAATAAATAACTTAATCTTTTTCTCCTCATAAATAATCCCCCCTCCAGACACCCACCCAAGCTCCTGACGCTTCTGGGCCCCTCCATGCCCAGGGCCCGGCCCTGCAGCAGAGCACAGAGCAGGGCTCCGGTGGCGACCTCTGGGCAGGCTCGATCCTCAGCTGAGCATCCTGGTGGCTCAGCGAGGTGGGGACCTTGGGTGCCAAGCACGAGCGGGGAGACTTGAGACTGTCGGAATGGGAAGAGGACGAGGCATCGTGGCCCGTGACATGGTCAGAGTGGAGGCACGATGGGGAGAAGGCCTTGAAACCAATTCTTCTGGATGTTTCTACAGAGCGAAGGCTCCAAAGAAGACAGTGCTGGGACTGAGGAGCAGGTGGGAGATGCCGTCCGTGTGCGTGGAGAGCTGGTCTCCCTGCGTGAGCAGGAACACAGCCCCCTGGTACACTGAGCGCACCCAGGGTCCCTGTGGCCCTGGGCACACGGACTTCTGAGCACTGAGGAGAGACACGTGGAAGGGGTACTGGGAGGAGAAGAGCTGGACCTTGTGGGCCAGGTAGAGAGGGGTGGGGGCGGCCTGGGGGGAGCAGCCTTCCCCAGAGAAGACCACCTGGGAGTAGATGAAGTAGAGGCCGCTGGCGGGGACCAGTAGCGAGTTGTTGCTCAAAGCGAAGCCGTGGCGGAGGAAGGCACGGTCCGTGCTCGCTCTCCAGCGCAGCGAGTTCTGGGTGCTGGGGTCTCCTAGGAGGAGCCGTGGGTGTGGGGTCAAGAACCTGGGGTCAGGGTCTCAAGCCCTGAAGCAGGTGCTGGACCCGTTCCTGGGGGTGCTGGGGAGGGCAGAGGGAGTGGGAGGCTCCGTGGGGGTGGGGAAAGTGGGGGAGAGGTGGAGTAGACAGCTGCTTGGGTCCCTAAAGGGGGTAGTAGGAGGGCTGGGGGCTACATGTCTGGGGGGGCAGGAGGATGTTTACCAACAAGGTGAGCGGCAGGCTTGAAGGTGTCTCGTGCAAACTGCTTCTGGAGGTGCCGATGGGCAGTCTGTGAGGGTGGGAGGCCAGCATCAGGGAGCCCCTAAGGAGAACAGAGTTGGAGGGGCTCTAGGGACCAAGGTTCAGCTGGGCCACCCCTGCAATCCCCTTCTCCTGCTGCCTCACCTGGGCCTCAGGTGGCAAGGCCAGCAGCAGCCCCAGAAGGAGGAGGGGCAGGGCGCCACACACCCTCAGGAGGTGGAGATGTCCAGGTGGTGTCATGGGGAGAACCTGCAGGGAGAGATCTGTGAGCGGCCGGGCGGGGCGCTGCGGAAGACAGGCCTCCTCCCCAGGAGACAGCCACCAGAGACCCAGGGTGACAGACAGAGAAGGGACACGACGCAGTCAGGGGAACCCCGAGGTGAGCAGGGGGAGACAGAAAGACACACAGAGGGAAAGGGAACAGAGAGGGATTGTGGTGGAAACAGAGACCTTGTGGCAGAGACAGAGAGAAAGAGACTGACGGATGGAGAGTCAGAGAGGGAACAAACCAAAACCAAACCCACCAAGGCTCAGGCCCAGGCAGGAGGCGCAGGAGGGGCCAGGGAGAGCCCAGCGCAGGGCAGCCAAGGAGATGGGGCGGAGAGTCTCACCTGCTGTGCCGGGCCCCTGGGTCCCTTTATAGAGGAAGCGGCGGTGGCAGGCGAGGCGGCAGGCGGGTTCTAGGCTGGGGCTGGGGCCGGGGAAGCCCCCAGGGCTTAGAAGACGCTGCTGTTTCAGCCGAAGGCAGGAAAGGCTGAGGCCTGGGAGTGAACCACAGGCTGGGGGCTCGCACGACTGAGTTCTGGGAAGGGTGTGGGGTCGGGGGGTTGTGGGCTGGGAGGGCCCCGGAGGGGTCAGGCCTCGGAGTTTCGGAGAAGGGCAGTAAATTCGGGGGAGCTGGAGGGCAGCAGCTGGGGTGTGGGCCCCGGAGGCCTGGTTCTCTGAAGAGCGATTATGTACAACACATCAGCATCTGTGGCTGATTACACGCTTCCCTCTGCTCCCGTTTCCTCCTCTCGTACCCTCATTTCTGTCCCAAATGGCCCAAGTCACCCTTGTCCCAGTATGTGTATTTCCAGGTTGTCTGGCAGGTTTCCTATCAAGAAACCTGGGACATACCCCCTTGCCTGGGACATCCTGGTTTATGTCTGTTGTCCTGATGAAACTACTCATGGAGCCTCTTTAAAAGTGTCCGGGAAGAGAAATGCACAGTCCCCTCCCCAGAGATGACGCCATGCAGTCATGTACGATGAGGCGCACCTCGCTCGGGGGGCCCTCTGCCTCGCAGGGTCACATGCCCCGCACAAGCACACGCCTGCATGCAGGGTCCGCACACTGCGCTACAACTTAGGGTCCCCCTGCTTTGTGTTAGAGATAGTGAGGTGTTCAAAACAACAGCCTGACAGACTTTTCTTTTTTTTTTTAAAATATGTTTTTATTGATTTTTTAGAGAGAGAGAGAGAGAGAAACATTGATGTGAGAGAGAAACATTGATTGGCTGCCTCTTGCACACCCCACACTGAAGACTGAGCCTGCAACCTGGGCATGTGTCCCCACTAGGAATTTAACTGGGCCTTCTGAGTCCATGTGATGACGCTCAATCCACTGAGCCACACCGGCTGGGACTTTCCTTTTCTTTTACATTATTTTTCTTTATTGATTTCAGAGAGAGAGGAAGGGAGAGGGAAAGATGGAAACATTGATGAGCCCTGGCAGGTTTGCTCAGTGGTTAGAGCGTCAGCCTGTGGACCGGAGAGTCCCGGGTTTGGTTCCCGCTAAGGGCACGTACCTCAGTTGCAGTTTGTCCCTGGCCCTGGTTGGGGTCGTGTGGGTGGCGACCACTTGATGTGTCTCTCTCACATAGATGTTTCTCCCTCTCTCTTCCCCTCTCTCTCCTTCCCACTCTATCTGAAGATACATGCAAAAATGTTCTCGGGTGAGGATAAAAAAAAAGGAACATTGATGAGAGAGAACGTCAGTTGGCCGCCTCCTGCAGGCCTCCCACAGGGGATTGGGCCCACAACCTGGGCATGTGTGCTGACCAGGAATTGAACTGGTGACCTCTTGGTGCATGGGTGGACGCTCAACCACTGAGCCACACTGGCCGGGCTGACAGACTTTTCCATCTGTGTATAGCTGTGTAGCCACAACCCAGTACAATAATTCTCAGGTCCCTAGAAGGTCCTCTCATGCTTTCTCCCAGTTAATACCCTCTGAAGATAAGCAGCCACTTTCTGACCTCTGTCACCGTAGATTAGTTCTTCCTGCTTCTCAGCTTCAGAGAAATGAAACCACACGGGAGGCCTCGTCTGCTCTGTGGCTTCCACACGGTGTGCGACAGCCCCCCGTGCTGCGGGGCTGCGGTGGGTTTCACCGCGATGTCATTTCTGTTGTGGGACTACACTCGAACTCATGTATCCGTTCTTCTGCGGGTGGGCATCTGGGCTGTTCCCAGGTTTGGGCTCGTATGGAAACACTGAAGTGAATGTTCTCCAGCCCATTTTCACTTAGCTTGGATGTTGCTGGTTTTTAAAAAAGCAAGGTTTCTAATCACTCATGTTTCATGAGGTTGAGAAAACAATGATCGCTCTTACTAACTGTTATGTTCTTATGTGCAGAGTTTTGGAGGGGCTGGTGCTGAGGGTGGTGGTGACGGAGGCTGAATCCTTCCCCTGTGGCACCGGGGACACTGCTGCTGTCCTCTGGCTCAAAGGCCCCCAGGGGTCTGGTGTCCTGCGGCTCATGAGTAACATTCAGGGTGTGTTTGGGCTATTTCACTCTTCCTACCTGAAACCCTGCAACTTTGCCTTTCATCCCCCACTAGTCTTATCTGTTATTCAATTTCATACTCATCCCATCTCCTGAGCTTTCTCTCTGTTCCACTAACATTTATTGAGCACCATGTACAAGACCGCGAGAATACAGATGCAAAGTCAGACCTCCGGGACCTTAAAGACCAGAGTGGGAGACAGGACAGTTGTCTGAGAATCACAGTCAGGTGTGACACGTCCCGTGGCGTGGGCTCGCAGCAGCCCCGGAAGAGCCGCTGCGCTTGGTGATTCAGGCACTGGGTGTGGAGGCGAAGATGTGGGGTCTAGATGAGGAACAGTGTGCAACGCCGGCTGAAAGATGGTGTGGAGTGTGCTGCGGTGTGCATTTGGGCACCGACAGAAGAAGCGGTGAGCGTGGGAGGTAAGCTGAGAACTCGTCCTGAAGGTTTGAAACCACGAAAAGAAGTTTGCATTTCATTCTAATGATGCTGGGGAGCCACCAGGATTTCTAAGTGAGAGAGGCCCTGTCAGGTGGGATATCAGAGAAGCCAGCCTGGCAGCTACGTGAGGAGGGACCCGAGGGCTGGCAGGTGGGGGCTGGAGGGAAAGCCGGAAGTGTGGGGACCAGTTGGGAGGGTTTTGCAATGGCCCGGCAAGTGGGTGACAAGGGCCTGCATCTATGTGGAGGCCCCAGCAGGAGAGTGGAAAGGAGAAGAGAGTTTCTAGGCAAAATCTACAGGTCTTGGTGGCTGAACAGACGTGAGGGAGGAAGAGCAGTGATCACAGATGTGCCTGTTAAATACCTCGGTCTGCATCTCGCTTATTCTTTTAACTCAGTGTCTCTGCGGCTGTTGGCTTCCCTCCCGCCCCGCCCTTTCCTTTTCCTGTGTCCCTCTTTCTCAGGGACTGTTCCCTCCTGCTGCCTCTCTCTGCCTCGCTAACGTAGGAGCTTTATATGCTGTAAAAATATAAAAGGGCATTTCGATTAACTGAGAAACCAAAAGGGAGAAGCAGGTCAGAGGGAGAAACGGAGGCAAGGACGGACGGAAAGGGGAAGGTGAGGCGGGAGGCATGGGCGAGAGCGCCGAGGCCGGGTCACGGGTTGGCGCTGGGCTGAAGGCGCTCCTGGAGGTGGGCTAATCTTGGTTTCGATCTCAGTTTCGAAGGAGGTTGTGTGAAATTTGGTTTCTTTCTTGGGGTGGCCAGCAGTTGGTTTGGGGCTTTCCCTGAGTGGGAGTGGTGATGACGAGCCCTGTGCCCCACACTCAGGGACTGTCTCCACAGTGGTCTCTGCACAAACCAGCAGACTCTCGGAAGCATCCAGTGAGGCTGAGATGGCATTAACCTCAAACCTGAACTTATCCTCAGAATCGAAACTGGGATTTGATATCGACTTTGCCACTAACCCAAATTTAACCTCAATCCAAATCACAGCTCCAGTTCAACCCTAACGTCAAATCTAAACACCTTTCAATAAATGAACTCAAACAACATTCTCTAAGCGAACCTGACCCTGTTTCTAGAGTGAACCTGGAAACCAGCCGTGGCTGAGCCAGCCCCGTCGGCAAGCCCGATGGAACCAGCGCACTGCCCCCCGCGCCGCCCCTCTCCTTCCCTCTGCAGAGGAAGCCCGTGCTGGGCACTGTGGCAGGCTGGAGGGCACAGTGGCAAGCCAGTCAGCCGGGCGGGGCCCTGGAGCGCGCGTCCTAGCGAGGCAGAAGGAAGCACACGGAGGAGAGGGCTGAGAAGCACTCCGAGGAAGCAGGGTGGTGGGGTGAGGGCGGCAGGGAACCACTCCGCACAGTGGTGGCGGACGTCCTCTCTGAGTAAGAGGCATTTAAGCTGAGACCCACATGACAAGAGTGACCAGGTGAAGTTAGGAGGAAAAGCACTCCAGGCAAAGGGAATAGCTTCTGCAAAGGCCAGAAGGTGGGCCAGCTAGGGTGCTGAGGAGCAGAGAGAGGCTGGGAGATACAGGAGAGGGAGAGCAGGGCCCAGACCTCGTGGGCCGGGCAAGCCGGGCTGAAGCATCTGGGTTTATTCAACTGTGGGAAGCTTTGGAGGATTCAGTATGTATGAGTATGTGCGTGTGCGTGTGTGTGCACACAGGTGCGCGCGTGTGTGACAGACAGAGACAGAGAGAGACAAAGACAGAGAGGCAGAGATACAGGCAGACAAAGAGACAAAGAGAGGTGTGAAGCAGAGGTGTTGGATTTATGTTTTTTTTTTCTTTATTAAATTTTTTTCCTTTATTGATTTTAGAGAGGAAGGGAGAGGGAGAGAGAGATGGAAACATCAATGAGAGAGAACATTGACTGGCTGCCTCCTGCATGCCCCGCACTGGGGATCGGGCCCACAACCTGGGCATGTGCCCTGACCAGGAATCGAACCAGCAACCTCCTGGTGCATGGGCCCATGCTCAACTCCTGAGCCACAATGGCCGGGCTGGATTTATGTTTTAAAAGATCCCAGTGGCTCCTCTGCTTAGAAGGGATTGCAGCGGGCAGCACTGAGGGCAGGGACACGTTAGGAGGCGATTGCT